TCCTCCTCCTCCTCCTCCTCCTCCTCCTCCTCCTCCTCCTCCTAGTTTTTGACGAAAATTGCCTTGAGCTGCTCAGATAGTTTCTCTGTCAGATATACTCCCTCAACACTGTCAACCTATTTACTAAGTCTGCATTACTATTAATCCTCCCATCCTTCCTTTCCCCAATCTCGTCCCACTTATGACTGTACGGCTGTAACTTGTTTCTTGTATCCTAATGATTTTTATTGACTGTTTCCTAGTATGATTTGATTGCTTATTGTACTCTATGACTATGACTATGAAGTGTTGTACCTGATGATACTTGATGAATGTATCTTTTCCTTTATGTACACTGAAAGCATATGCACCAAGACAAAGTGTCCAATCACACTTGGCCAATAAAGAATTATAAAGTTCTAAAGTTTTATAAGTGGGTTTTGTGTACAGAAAAAAAAACCTCTGAGAACAGAAGCAAAGTGGAAGAGCTGAAAATTGTAGACATTATTTTAAAAGAAGACTCTTTCATCACACTCATAGGCATTCAGAACCACCAACAAAAGCAAGTTGTTTAAAAATATTGGATCCCTTGCAGAAGTGCTGTATTTTTGTTTGAATGCAAAATATTGTCCTTTTTCTTCTCGGGGTTTTGTACATCTATAGCCTCCCGCTCAATCTCACCAATCTTTTTGCAAATTGGGCCCGTCTCAGACACTTAGCCCTGGGGCTTAATCACAAAGGAAATGCTTCCTTTTGTGTTTAAATCATCCTTCCAAGGATGCTTCTTTGTGTATTTCAGTTCTCTGGGTTTGATTCTTCTGAACTGATTCAACTGAGCCAGCTAAGCGAATTCTACTCCGCTTTGCCTCTCCTGCTTTAAATAAAAGGCGATGAGGGGTGGGGGGAGCTGCAAATAGCTACCTTGGAGGCAGATAGCTGCCTTGGTGTGCGTGCCAGTTTGTGTGCATCTCCGATGCAAATTGCATGGAAATCCCACAATGGGGCGGTGCTCCACGGCTTCTCTCTTTTTCCAAGCACCCCGAAGATGCCTTTGGAGCGTGAGCTTATTTTCCACGCCACCTCCTAACACTCTGGCTCCTCCCCCTCCTGGGGAAGAGGTGGGCCCGGCTTGCAAAGTGATGCTTCAGCCTAGGATTCCTAAGGGCGATCCATTTGTTTTCTGCCATATGGCACGTCCACCACGTAAAATCTCTGGAGCTCTACAATTAGGGCTGGCTGAGGATGGAGTTGGGGGAAAGTGGCAGCGTGATTCTCTGCACGCATTCCCTGAACAGCAGAGTTGGGCTGGGCCGAAAGCTCAGCGCGGTTTCTAAATGCAAAGATACGGCCCTCTGTCTTCCTGAATCTGAGTTGAGCAATTGCAAGAATGCAATTCAAAATTATTTAAGTAATATTTAAAGCCTCAGGATCTCTCAAATTTTGATATATTTTTTTTCTCTTTTTCTAATGCATAGATACATCCCACTGTCTTCCTGAGTCTCAGTTGAGCAATTGCAAGAATGCCTTCAATATATATATATATATTTAAAGATTCACGATTTCTCAGATTTTGATATTTTTTTTCTCTTGGTCTCATTTGTAGGGTGTAAACTTTTAAGGTGTTTAATCTACTCCGTTAAGCCCGTTCCTGTGAAAAGGTCTCTGAGCTTCATAATCTAGGGAGGACAAAATATATTTCACATAGGTTTGTTTTTTTTAATTACATTTGATACAAAGATCAGAGATGCTTCCTGTAAAACCCGGCGGTTTGGATGCTTTCAGTTTTTTTCTTCCCAACTCTGTTAGAAAAGGATTTTCTCCCAAATAAAGCTGCTTGTTTGCTTAGCATGACTGCTGGTTTGTAAAATAGCTGCATTTTGAAAGGAACAAAAGTCCAGAGAGTTTAAAGCATAACATATTCAGGTTTTATTCAAATTCCAGGCAAATCTCTTACTGGCTATAGCAGGTTTCTTGCTAAATGGAAGTGACCTGTGTTCTTATCTCAGAGACTGGCACTAAATGGGCATATACCTTGTCTTGAAATTATTTAAAGTGCCAAGGAGAAAATCTTGATATAAATAACCACTGTTTATTCACTATTGTTTTGCCACTGATAAATTATTCACTGATTCTTAGTAGTGAAGTCTTTGATTCCCATGGGAAAAATGGGGTTCTATTCCGTGCACTTTTTGTGTTATTTATTACACTAATCCAACAATATTTATAGTGTTGATTCAAGAATAGTAAATGCTTTTAAACTATGCTTTAGGTGCGGCCATGCTCATTCATGTCGCTCCTTTTCACACTGTTTCTTGCTCAACTTCCCTATAGGCCAGGTTTGTTAAGTCTGCAACAGAATTTATTACAAGCCATGAATTATGGTTTATAAAGCATATATATATATTTGACATTAATTTTAACTATTTCCTTCCTTCCTTCCTTCCTTCCTTCCTTCCTTCCTTCCTTCCTTCCTTCCTTCCTTCCTTCCTTCCTTCCTTCCTTCCTTCCTGTGCCCCTGCAGTATGTGGTCCACAGCTTACCAATTCCCCTACCGTAATCGTGATGGTTGGATTGCCGGCTCGCGGGAAAACCTACATTTCCAAAAAACTCACCCGTTACCTCAACTGGATTGGCGTGCCGACGAAAGGTGAGCTCTGAGGCGAATCGTTGTTGTTTTTTTTAATGGGTGGTGTGAAATCAAAATGCTTGCGAAGGAAATAATGTATTTAATAGTCCATGTATTGATGGTGGCTAGAATATTATATGCACAATACTGGAAAAAATGAAATCATACCTCCAGAAACAGAAATAATAAGAAAAATTACAGCATGTGCCGAAATCAGATAGCTTAATGTTAGAAATAAAAGACAAAGGAGAGTCTAAATATTATAAAACATGGAATAAATTTTATCAATGGTTATATAGCAGAAGACAATGTTGAAATATTAGTAGTTATGATTATATTAATTAGTAATTAATATATTAAATAAGGATATTATAAATGATGAAGTAAAATGTATATATGTATAACAAGGATGTATTGTGTTGTATTCTTATAATTAAAATTAAAAAATAAATTTAAAAAATGCTTGCGAGTGTCAGGTTTGAGGCTTTCAACCTGAGGGGATACAGCTAGTCTTCAAGTTATGACTGCCGTTATGTTCCAACATTTCCATTCTTAAGCGAGACAATCGTGGAGTTCTACTTCCTTTTACGACCTTTCTCGCCACCAACGTTCAGGGAATCACTGCTATTATTAGCTTAGTAACATGGTTGTTAAGTGAATCTGGCTTCCCCATTGACTTTGCTTGTCAGAAGGTTGCTAAAGTGGGGACACTGCAACCGTCATAAATGTGAGTCAGTTCCCAAGCATCCAAAATTTGATCATTATGTAACTGTGGGGATGCTGCAGCGGTCGTAAGTGTGAAAAAAACGGTCATAAGGGACTTTTTTCAGTTCCGTTGCAGCTTTGAACAGTCTAAACGGGACGGTTGCAAGTTGGGGACTACCTGTATGGAACAGTTATTGAAGTGGGGGTGCCCTTAATATCGAAGAATGGATCCTATGGATGTGTAAATCATGAGCCTGGCCAGCTTGGCCGCAGCATCCAGCAGGCCTTGGCCGGTCTCTGGATCCTCCAGGCAGGATCACATCTGGATTGGAGAACTGGCAGGAATTCTGAAGAGTGCCCAGAAAGTTAAAAATAAAACCAAAAAAACACAAATGTATCTGACAAGAAGCCTGATTGATGTCTTCGTCCGCTTTGCAGTGTTCAACGTCGGCGAGTATCGGCGTGAGGTTGTGAAACATTACAGCTCTTACAACTTCTTCCGCCCTGACAATGAGGAAGCCATGAAAGTCCGCAAGTAAGTCTCAAATTCCCTTGAGCTTTCTTTCTTTCTTTCTTTCTTTCTTTCTTTCTTTCTTTCTTTCTT